TAACAGCTATTTGCTATGGTAATATGTGGATAGTAGAAATATACAAATGAGGAGGAAAATGGAAAGAATATACTCAAATACTATTTAAATATTCACTGGTTGTGATGGTCATGTTAGACATTACTATTTTGAGACCGTCTACGAAACGTGAAATAAAACTGATCAATAATCACAAGGTAGTCAATTCTGTCACCCGTTTTGTCCCTTGATACTCAAGAGTTTCAAAGGATGAATGTGGGGAGCTTGGAGAGCTGCAGAGGCCAGCTGGGAGAGCTTAGGTAAAAACTCTGGTTCTGAATGTAAATGGAAAATATCAGGATAAACTGCAAAGTCCTTCAAACAGTGGACCACTCAATAGCAATGAGCATCTCTGGAGTTTAGGTTACGTTGGAACACCATAATTAAATGAAATAAGCTTTAATTTAACCCCAACGAAATAAACCACAGTTTCTTGGAGACAGTGGCTGATTTGGAATAGGGAATGTACACGATCAAGCATCTGATCATACCTGAAAACAAGGAAGCTTTGCCAAAGACATGTAGGCTCGTGTCAAAAGAACCTATGGACTGGTTTGGAAAACACTCCCAGTGAGCACAGCTGGGATCATTTGGCCTGCGATATGAATAATTGCAGTAGACTGAAATCCATCACATATGTTTAAATTTTGCCTTCATAATGACATTTAAAAATAATAATTGGTCACCTTAAAAAGATGATAGAAAATCAGGGCCAGCAGGTGGTGTGAGGGTTAATGGGCTGGATCCCACAAGGCTGGCTCCCTCCTTTGCACCCCAGATCTGGTAGCCTGAAAAATACTCCAGGCATGTGTGCATGCTTGCCCAAAATCCCAGGAGGAGAAGGGACTATGGTGTGGCCATTACCTCTGGGGGAGTGATTTCTCACCTTCCCTCTCTTTCTCTGTCTCTCTCAGACAAGTGTACACACCCATTAACAAACAAACAAACAAATAAATAAATAAATAAATAAATAAATAAATAAATAAACAAATAAAAGAAAACCATTTAAACTATATGAAAACTAGTAAATAAAGGCGGAGAATGACTCTTGCCTTTTCTGTATTCATTGTACCACTGGATAATCAAATTATACAAGAGAGAAAGTACCGCACTGTAAAAAGGGTATTACAACTGATAAATGAAAAAGAAATGACAATTTTGCACATAGGATGAACCAGTAGATCTGAACAAATGAACATTAGTACTATTAACTTCATAATAAGAAAGATACCCAGGCATAAATGTATGACACCATCTATGGCTTCCCCAAAGGGGTCAGATCTGAATGTGTCCCAGGAACCAGCTTCCAATATGGGGGATACAGAGGACAGGAATGAGTTCAACTGCACCATCGGTGTGAATTCAACAAAATCCAGACTGCCCAAAACAGCAGGTGAGATAGCTTGAGTTCCTCAACTGTTAGGGATAAAAAATGGCGGGGGGGGGGGGGGCGGGATTTATAGTTTGAAAGACATAAAAAATACTGCCTTTTCTATGTTAATTTTATCATTGGATAACTAAAGAATACAGGACCATGAATTCCATGTTAAAGTGCACAAATTTGAAAACATCCTATAAAATAAAATTTTAAGACTTTAAAAAGTCTCTGTATTGTTTGAACACTTAAATTTAATTTATCTGTTCTTGATCATTAATTCAGTCGATGAATAATTACCTGATGAACTGAACATTCATGGTTTACAAACAAAATAAGCCACACACACAAAAAAAATGGTGTTTTCAACACAAACTGTGTTGAAAACGGATTCTTTTCAATGCAAACTCTCTGTAAATGTGTCACCTGTACCCTTCTTTTTAATTACTACTTCTATGAGATGTTTAGATCCAGAATGAGCAATTACTGCCCCCTGTCATAACTCTAATTTTAGAATCAAGAGGTGGATCTGTGTGTATTACCTAGGTACTTTGATAATTATTGCAGGTGACTGTTAGTATCTTTTGGAGCCAGAAGAGGGCACCGCAGAGCAGCGTAGCTCTGAGCTCTTCAGGACCAGCGGTCTGAGAGTCTGAGAATGTCCTTGCTAAAAGAAATATGAAAGGCTTTACTGTGGAAACAAGAACTGAGCGTATAACTACATAATCACTATAGACCTTTCCTACATATGTAAAAGAGGACAGGTAAAATATATAACTATCGAAATACAAATCTAAAATATCAAATGTGTGTGTATGCTATATATACAGAAAATTAATGGAAAATTCATATTATGAAAAAACTATACATGGATTTCAGAAACTATTTTCCACAAAAATAAACTCATAGTTTAATTCCATTTTAGAATATTCTGAAGTTTTTGTTGTTGTTGTTGTTGTTTTTTGTTTTGTTTTGTTTCTTTTGAGAGAGAAATTTTTGCTATAGGGCACATGTGCTCATCAGAGAAAGTGATGGCCATGCCGCAGTCCCATCTCCTCCATTCTCCTCTTGGGCGCACATGCACACATGCCTGGCCTGAGATTCAAGCCACGATTTCTGGGACTTGAACCCCATTTGGCCATGTGGGAATCCAAAGACAGCACCATTACGCCATCTGCTGTTCCCAGAAGTCCTCTTGTATGTGTGTTTGTGTCTGTGTGTGTGCATATGTGAGTATATGTGTTGCGTGCATGTCCTTTTTCTTTCTAGAACATGCCAAAGCTGAATCTGAAGTTCTTCTATTACAATATTTATTTTTCCGCTTCTTCTGGCAGTTATAAAAAGAAGTCCTCAAGTACTCCTCTTTTGCACAGATATGTAGTTAGTGTATTTTGTTTTAGTTATTTCAATTCAGAATAAAGGAGATTTGGTAGCTTTTAGTAATCTTAAGTGTCATAGTACAGAAGTCATATATGACATAATACATTAGGTTTCATCTCAGAGGGTTTTGCTGACATGAAGGGTATGTTTTCAGTGTCACCTGCTCAATCACAGGACAGTACGTAGGTAGTAGAATTTAGACTGCCGCCTTACGCTCCAGGAAAGATAACTAAGACACGTCACTGTCCTTTGAAAATGTGGTATCTGCAGTCTTTTCGTCTTTTCCTAAAACGTGCTTTCAAGGGGTCTCCGCAGCCTGGGTCTGTCCAGTGACTGTGTGTTCCTAGGTATCAAAAGAGTGGACACTCCATCATAGTGGGACCCCAGCTAAGTCTTCTGTCTCTGAAAGTCAGTCTACACAACATCCCTGAGACATGCTGTCAACCCAGTGACATGGATCAGTGTCAAAAGTCACCTCTTTAGGAGAGGGGAAAAGATGTGAGAAAGTTTCACAATACGTCATTGTAAATTGCTTTTCATACGCTACCAAGAAAGTGTAATTTCTGAATAAAATCATCCACGCATGTCTCCCTGTCCACACACTAATTTATTCTCCTATGAGTTCTAGTGAATAATGAGAAAAATTCAGTTTTTCATTATTGAAAAAAAAAAAAAAAACAACAATGAATGTGCCCTCTTTCCTCACATGGGGGAACTGCCAGTAGGTTCCGTAAGTCTGCTCTTTATTTCAGACCTGCTGTGAAACATGAAAACTGTATTGCTAATTATGATGCCATCTTGTCTGTGAGTTGTAGCTAAAACTACCAATCTGTGACTTGGGTTCTTTTCCAGCCGTGGCCATGTGGACACAGTGGTTGACGTTACAGCGTTTGTTTATAGATTTGTTTGTAGATTGGCGTTCTGTGGCTTTGTACCTCAATTGACCTATCCTTTGCTGGAAGAAAGACAGGTGGTCTATTTTTCCTGGATGCAGAGTTTTCTGACTTCTGCTTTTCTCCTCCCTGAACTTTGTTTGGAACTCAGTATGCCTTGAAGTCTTTCCTCCACTTGCCTAGCTTAAAGACCCAATAGCGCCACACTTACTCAGTTAGTTGGCACTGAATTCACAATCCCTATGCACATATTCCCAGCTTCAGTCCTTCACTCAATGTAGCTTTTGCCTAGAGAAATCTTAACCATCCTTCAGGGCCTAATACATCTCTCACATCTTCAGTGAAGTCTGTTAACTATTCCAGACGCAACGTCCTCCCCAACTAACGTGCTACGGCCCTTTCCATCCTCTCTACCACACACATCCAGCACTTCACCAGCACTTGTGTTATTCTTGTCACTGATGGTCTCACGTATCTCACCTTGGCTTCCTAATGAGCTATTCAGTTCTGTGAACCAAAAACTCTGGTTCCTATTTACCCTAAGTCTCCAATGTCATATTAGTGTGCCAGGTGTTCAGAACATCTGATATTTTGATCAGAATGGCAGAGCCGTTCTCCAATTACTGTCTTCCATCTGACTCCTGAGTTACACACTGCTTAATAGTTGTCATCGTGAACCTCCCCACAATGATGCACTACCTGTTCTCTCTCTGCCCTTCTCTTCCTAGTTCAGCTCCTTATACACCTGTCACCAATCTGTCTGCAGCAACTAACAAGCCTAACCTCACTGTTCAAATACTGTTGGGTCTAGGCCAAGAACTTTCACGCAGATGTAGCGTGTGTTAGAGAACATTTTACTACACAGTGGTTAATGCGTAGTCCAACGTTAGCTTCAATGTCAAATGCATGGTGCCATCAGGTGGCATGGTAGTTAAGGTGATGGTCACGTGGCTGACCGTAGTTTAAATCCTAAACCTGATGGCTTGCTTTCTCTTTCTTTCTCTGCCTTTCTCTGGTCAAATTAAAATCATAATAAAATTAAATCATTATTTAAAAAAAACGTCAAATTCATTAGGAGCTGAAGACCTATTCAGGTGAAAGACAACATTATTATGAGGGATACTTCACCTCGTAACTGTGATACAGAGCCCCACAAGTTTATTTGCAGTTTCCCCTGGATAAAAATTGAAATAGAAAAGAATATAATAGACATATGGTGATGCTTTTGAGAGAAATATTCACGTTGAACGTTTTAATAATGTCATATATTTAATGATTTGTCAGTGCATCATTCCTTTACCTCCTAAAACTAAAGTTATACTCATGATTTTCAGCTTCGCAAGTCTGTTTTCAGCATCAGGGCAAGGAATCTTCTGGAAAAGGAGACGGCAGTCACTAAAATCTTAAGGTAACACCAACAAACATTGATGTATACTTAAACACAAGTAAGATTATATTGAGCAAAATAGGAGCTTTTTCACTTCTTAAATGAACTAATCAACATACTTTCTAGAAAGTTGATATTAGTATCTATGTACTTATAAATAATATCAAGGATATCAGTATCTTTGCTGAAAAGTGATATTTTATTGGCTCAGTAGGCCATCTATTTTCATTTTATGTATTTAAATATAAAAAAGTATAAACATTGACAAAAAGGTAAAAATAGTTTACTGTTATTCTTAACAGTTTCATGACTTTTGTGATATCTAATGACAAGTGACCAGCCAGTCCCATGGGCCTAGTAGCTAAGGAAACTGGATCCCACATGGCAGACTGCGTGGTCTGAGTCCTGTATCTGTGGCTTGAGAAACACCAGGCACATGTGCATGTGTGCCCAAAATCTCAACAGATATAAAAATGGAGGTGAAAGGACTGCAGCTTGATCATGATCATTCCATATGGAACGAGGTGAGGGAGATGCTTTCTCCCCCCATGTCTCTTTCTCTCTCTCTAACAAACACATATACCCTCAGATAAATTTTAAAAAGAAGAAAAAGGAAAAATGGTTAGAGTAATTTTTTAGAAGTAATTATATTCATTAATTTATTAAAAATAAATTTAGTAGAAATCTGTTAAAAATTAAAAGCATATCCATCTTAGAATGCTCATGAAAACATATCACTTTAATGTTACTCTCAAAAATATGCTTTGAAATCAGAAATCAGTAAAGAAAATTAAGCTACACATTCCTGAATATTCTATAATCTCTACATTCTGGAGTAACATGATTGGTATAAAGATGCATAAACATCTGGAATATCATTTATTGATGCCTATATCATATAGACTTATGTTACCAACACAACTTACTATTGGGAACTGGAGGTATGAGGGGTTAACAAGGCAAATGGACAAATTCTTACTAGGAAGTTCTCTCCAGAGTTGTGGTAAGTGGAAGGAGTTAGACTCTCATCTACAAAATTCATTAGTAGGAATGGTCATTAAAGCATTTTCCCCAGGACATACATTATTATAGCTTAGAAAATTGCAATGAGGAAAAGAAATGAGTTATATATGATTTGAAAAACTAATTTTTTACTTTATAACATGATCTGAAATTTGTGTGAGAAAAGTTCTAAGTAATCAAGATGGTATTTCATGTTTTGTATTGGCTGACTTTCAGAGGTAGAGTTGAGCATATGTTGGAATAGCTCTTACAAGAGGAGGATAAATATTGCTGAGGCTTGAATATTATCACACAAAATATGAGATAAACATAAAAGTCTTGCTGAAATAGACAGCCTGCATCCCGACTTAGGGTTTCCTCCAACTCGGTAATGTCTCCATCCTGGCTGCACCACCCAGTCACACCATGAGACTGGCCCAGAACACCAGGTGGTCCTTCAGTGTCATCACTCAAGCAGTGACTATACTACAAAAGCTCATGGTTGAGTCATTCAGAAATTCTCCCTCAACCCAGAAACCACACAGAAGGGAATTGTAATACTTTGAGTCTGTCTTGAGAATCTACCTGGAACCAAATGACCTGACTCATCTGTTCCAAACAGCTGCCTTCCCGCAAGTGTGAGTGTGCCCTCAGGGATTCAGAGACGTCCTAAGGCAAAGGTGGAACTGGATACTTGTAAGGAAGAAATTAACAGGCCTCTCTTCCCAATGAACTCTTTTTTAAAACTGATCTACCAGGGACCACAGATGGTACAATGGTTATGTTGCTGGACTCCCATGTAGTCGACCACAGTTTGAGTCCTGGACCCAGTGGCTTAAGCCTCACATTAAGTGCATGTGTGTGTTTGCCCAAAATCTTAAGAGGAGGATGGAGGAGAAGCGATTTTGTCATGGCCATTCCTCCCGGAGGGTGATGTCTTGCTTCCTGTCTCTTTGTCTCTCTCTGTCTTCTAGTGAGTACACATGCCCTATAGCAAACATATCTCTTTAAAAAAAAAAAATTATCTACTGCTTGGGTCAGCTCTGTGGTGCAGTGGTAATGCACTGCTCAAGAGAAGCTGTATCCCACATGGTGACTGTGGTTTGAATCCCCCGCCTTGTCAGTCTGAAAGAGCCAGGCAAGCACATAAGTGCCCAAGAGCTGATAGGCTGGAAGACTGGAGGAAGGGGATTTCAGTGTCACCAGACCCTGTGGCATGTACCCCCAGTACACAAATGCACATACATATGCTCTATCATTATAAATAAAGAAAAAATTAGATCTGCCATTTTTCCTTTTCTATCCTTTTTTCCTTCTCTACCCCTCTCTCAATTTACAAAAGAAAAGTGAAACTTATCCATCTGGAAAGCCCGGTTCGTGTTGATCAGTGCTGTAAAATCCTCTGGGCTGCTACACAGGGATTTTCCTCTGCTGGCGTTGTCCACTGGGAAGGCTTCATGGACAGCACCTTACTGTTAACCTAGGTGGCACATTTTTGGAAAGTCTCCTTTTAAGAGTTCATCTACCTTAGAGTTAGGCCTTAGAAATAATGTGGTTGTCACAAGGGCATGTGTTCACATGTTATTTAAATTGAAAAATAAACTTAGACTTTTCTGACAGATTCAGCTGATTGGTTTGCCAATGAAAACTGACTTAATAGGGGCACCATGTCATAAGATGGAATGAATTGGATGGATGACACTCTCTGGTGTTTTCTCAGAATTGTGTTCAAGCACGTACACAATAACGCTAGACATCACATCCTTTCCTGCTACTTCACATAGCCAGGGGAAATTCAGTGTCGATTTTTATTTGGACAGAAAGTAAATTATATATATATATATATATACGTGGACAGAAAGTAGATTTTATATATATATATACACATATATATATGATAGATATGAGCAAAAAAGTTAGGACCTTCAGGAAATAGGGACCCAACAACCATGTGGATTGTATAGCGTTTTACTACAGGACCAGTGTACTATGGAATGAGAGGGAGAGCCTTAGTGTAACCTCACCCTGTTACCTTGTGAACCTCAGGAAAGAAACAAAACAACTTTTGATTGCTGTTTGTTGTACAAATTTGTTATTTTGAAAAGCCATTTATTTAGCTTTATTCTTCTCTAAAAATGGTGTCCTCATTGGTGCTTCCACACAAGGTTTGAATTCTGGCCCCAGTGGCTTGAAAACCACACGAGGTTTGTGTGCATGCTCATCCATGATCTTGACAGGATGCAGAAGTGAAAGGAAAATGATTGTGGCGTGAACACATCCCACTGAGATGCCACTTTCTCTCTCTTTCTCACTCTCGCTCTCTATCTCTCTGGCAAGTACATATGCCCTCTGGCAACAACAACAACAAAAAAACAACTAGTGATTGTAGTAACAGTAATAAAAATAATAAAAATAAAATGTTACCTGCATTATAATGTAATCCATTTAGTTAAAAGACCAAGGATAGATTTGGTCCATGTCTATGGGTTTCTGAACATTACTCTATGTTATTTTCCAAGGAACAAAAACAACTAAAAAGAAAAAGAAGAGAAGAAAAAAAAGAAATTTAAAAGAGAGAAAAGGAAAATATTTACAGGAGACTCAGGGCAATTGATTCAAATAACCTTCCTCAAAATTGCGAAGCAGAAAATGTTTTTCACCACTCAACCTGTCTTCTTAATCCCTCTAGAGGCTTTCCTCCCTCAGACTTTCACCTTTCTCTCTGTTAATTAAACTCTGCCAGGGTTCCGGATAACTTAGAAGTGGCCTCTCCCAGGGCTATTTGCCTTTTGAAAGAATTTTAAAGAGAGAAAAAGCTTTAACACAAGGAGATTCAAATTCAATCTCTGATAGATGAGTCTGCCTTCACACTCATACATGACCAGCCCTGGTGGTTCACAGATAGCATCACTACTCGGGAGGATGGAAACCATATGGAAGGCCCAGATTTGGTTCCCTGTCTTACTTGAACATACTGGGCACAGTTGTATGCTACCATGATCCGAGGTAATTGGGAAGTCCCAGTAGGAGGATAACTACACAGCAAAACTCAAAAATTCCTATCTCTGCCTCTCTCTCTCTCTCCTTTTCATTCTTTCTCTCTCTTGCTCTCATTCTCACTCTCTCTCTCTCTCACTCTTTCTCTCTTCCCCTTTCTCATTTAGGATAATAAATAAGTAAATAAAAGAAGTCCAGTGCAGACTGTTAGTTTAGTGACTGTTACTCTTGACTTCCCTAGGTTTTATGTTTTTATCAAATTATTATCTTTGGTCTCACTTGAGAGGGTCCTCACCAGGGAGCAGGAAAGAAGTACAGAGAGGCATGAAAAATAAAACACCTGAGCTGAATAATCTTTGTGAATTTATTATAGTCTGGCATTGGTCCTGACTGGGGTACAGAGGTAAATCATATAAGCTGTAAGTCCGATGTGATGTAAGAGGAAGAAATGAAATATTAGCGTCTTGAAAATAACTTTCAAAAAATGATAAGAAGCCAGATAATGGTGCAGAGCAACACAACTGGACCCACATGGGAAGGTCCCTGGTTCACATCCCAGGACCTTCTTGAACATGCCAAGTGTGTGTATGCCTGTAATCCACTCTGACTGGCTGCGTAGGTGAGCGGGTTGGGTAATTCACTGTGTGCCTCTCTTCTAATCTGTCTCAGGGAAGAAATAAATAAATGAACTGTAAAATACATATTCAGGGAAAATAAAACAAAGCAACTCTGTGATGTCAGGGGTCTAGAAACCTGTTATGTGAGCAGGTCATTTACTCAAATTTTCAGTTCTCTCCTCTATGCAGTGGAAGATTGGAAGAAATGGTCTCCAGTTACATTGGACTTGGATGTTGCAATGCCTGGAATGGAGTGAGGCTCAGCTATTCTATAACCTTGAGCAGCTCACTGATCATACCCTCATTTTTCTCATCTGCCTTCATGGAACAGACTATCCAAAAAGGGTACCTGAGGGAAGTACCCTATTTATGAAGCACAGTGATATTTAATACTTAGTCCCGTAA